TCATAACTGATGCTTGAATAGGAAACTGGTGCTATGGAAAGTATTTTTCTTTTTTCATAGAAGTAGTACCCATTTAGTATAAGTAAGACATCCAAAAAGTTATATTTTGATTTTTTTCTTTCTTGAAGTAACTTCAGTTCTTATCTGGCAGCAACAAAGGATTTGTTCCTCAAAAAGGTTGTTCTAAAGCAGTTGTAGTATCAGCAGGCTAAGGAGCCTGACCGTTGCTTCCACTCATTTACTTCCCTGTAGCAGGACACTGGCTGAAATACTTGTGCTTTTCCAGAGAAGCAGGGCTTTACACACACTTGTATGTGAGTGTGAGGAGCATCACCGTGAAAATGGCTGCTAGGTTCACAGGGATCAAACTTGATGCTTGGTCAAAAGCTACACTCAGAGACTCTAAATAGATTGGAGAGACACAGGTGCAGCTGTGAGGCTGCAAGACAAACCAGATCTGTATTTTTTTCTTCTATAGGCTTTCCTACCTGGCTTTTTGTTGCTGTTTTGTTTTTAATCTTACAAAAAAAAATCACTGCACACTTAATTAATTCACTACAAAACGTGATGGTGAATATTACTGTCCCATTTTTCAGGTGTTAAAAAAAAAAAAATCTCAACCATCTTGAATCACCACTACTTGCTATAGGGCTGGAAAGAGGAGGGGTTAAAAGATTGAAAATTCACCTCTTTCTTGGGTGTCTGGAAGTTGATTGTTTCACCAAGATCTATCATTTACAAGCAGTGAACATTGAACAAATAAATCGTGTAACATCCTTGGACCTCAGTTTTCTCCTTTGTAAAATGGAAATTATGTCTACCAGAATCTATAGTAGCATACCAATCCTTTTTTAAAAGATTTATTGGCTTTTATTTTATGTGTATTATGTTTTGCCTGCATGTATGTCTGTGTACTACCTGGTAACTGCAGAGACCTGAAGAGTGTTGAACCCTTTGGAACTGGAATTATAAGACTGTTGTGAGCTACCATGTGGATGTTGGGAGTTGAATATGAGTTCTGGAGGAGCAGCCAGTGTTCTTCCCTATTGAGCCATCTTACCAGCCCCAGCCCCTAAGTTCTTACCTGCAGAATGGAGATACCAGTACTAGAAGCTATTGTTATGCTTATGGACCATTAAGTTAGGCCTTTGTAAATCATGGTAGTTATCAAAGAAAAGGAAAATTAAAATATAAGTTACCAGTGTAGAGAAAGTAAAGACCTTTTCCTTTTCTTTCCCATGGCTTGAAAAGGAAGGTGAGTGAGGCTGAAGCAAAGCATTACTTTTTAAAGAACCTCAAGAGAAGTAGGAACCATGAAGTTTTTTCTCAGATCAGAGCTTGTCTTCAGGCTGTTCTTGGTCCTGATCAACCCAGTGTTTGCGCCCAGCTAGGAAAACAGATGGTAGAACTTGACCAGCCTTCAGGATGGATAGAAAAGGTAAAAAGGGGGAGGAGCATGGGACTAGAATAGCTCTGCAATTAAGAGCCAATTAATGAGCTCAACAAGTATTTTATTTGGAGAGGAACTTAGCTTTATCTGTTTTGGAGTTTCTCTTACCAGCCTTAACAAGGGGAAAAGTTTTCCAGAAACCTCCTTACAATGGTCACAACCATGAAACTTTCTGTCCAATCCCTGTATTACATTGACTATGAAGTTGTTATTCAATAAAAAAGATAATGGTTAGGAAGATGGTTCAATGCATGGGTACCAGCAAATGCATGAGGACCTAAATTTGGAAACTCAGAGTTCACATGAGTGGCATTTTATGTCTGTACTACGGGAAGAGTGGTGACAGGCAGATGCCACAGGCTTGCTGACATTTATTCTAATTGAAATGGTAAGCTTTGGGTTCACTGTAAAACTGTCTCAAAACTAAAGTGGGGATTTATAGAGGTAGACAACCAACATCAACCTCCAGCCTCCACATATCACAGAAACACACAGAGGGACACACACACACCACCCCACATACACATTAAAAAACAAACAAACCTGTTTCATCTCATATCTCTGAAGGAAATTTAGAGGTAACATGTTTAATCTAAAATATAATAGTTTCAGATGCCAAATAAAAGGTATTGAGGGAAGGTTAGAAGACAAAATTTGATTTTTCATTTTTTAAAGGAAGGGTCCAGTTCCTTTTATTATGTTATAAAGCTCTGACTATAACACTAAGATATATAGCACTACCATGAGAAAGTTAGGATTCACTAAGAATTTAAACTCAGTCTCATGACCTCAGAGTCATTATATAATGCTGCCCCTCCTAAAGGATCTCAGTAGAATGGACAGAATGGCTGTCTGCCTGATGTCCTCATTCACTAAAAATTGATATATTAAATGGACACCTAGAAGATCTCTGTAACTTCTACAATCCCCAGTCCAGTTGTAGACTTCTGTGTAACAATAGGTGTTTCTGGGGTAGCATATGGGTATCTGAAGAGGAAGGCTGTGCTGTTCCACTTGGAGAAGATGGAGATTTTACAGCATTTCAGATAAAATCATATGAACATGTGCTGGCTCATGTAATAAGTAATAACAGAACAGAGAGGAAATGGAAGTTATGGGTAACCCACTAGAAGAGACCATATACCAGTTGGGGTAATCTGGGCTACACATTTAAGGTCCTCTTTTTTATCATGAGAAACAGGTTGCTCTGCAAAAATATGCTTTCTTTTTCTTTAACACCCCCCCCCCATCCATCACACCAAAGCTGTGATGTCCATATGGGTGACTACTATGCCCTTCTTATTTATTCTGGACCTGACATCCAGACAATCAATAAATATTTAGCAGTTGATGAAATCAGTAAATGACATGTCAGAGTCATGGAGTCTCATGCTCTAAACAGTGAGATAATTCCCTTTCAGGTCCAGGAACAGATCTCTCTTAGGGTAATGAGAATAGATTTTTGTCAGTCAATACCTCTGACCTTTTCCCTGGTAGACTCCAAGTTCAATATAGTTTTATAGCCTGAACACTAAACCAGGCATTGGTAGCACATGCCTTTAATCCCAGTGCTTGGGAGGCAGAGGCAGGTAGATCTCTGAGTTCAAGGCCAGCCTGGTCTACAGAGTTCCAGGACAGTCAGGGCTACACAGAGAAACCCTTTCTCAAACTAACTCTCCCCCACCACCCCAAAAAAATAAATAAATAAAAAATAAATCATACATGATTTGATATTCTCAGTTTGGGGTTAGGGTTATTGACCTCTAAGACTATGATGAAAATCATGGCCTTTCTCAGACAAAGGGACACACAGACAAAACTCTGAATACAATTTCAGTAGGTTCATGAATGCTTTATCTCAAGAATACTAAAAAGTGAACTGCAGCTCAAAGAAAGGGCATAGTCACCATCAGTCCTCCCATATTTGAAGTAAGACTGACAGAAACAAAAAGAGCTTGCTCTGAACATAATACCAAGGGGGAGAATATGGGCCAATTTTATCTATGCTTTGATTATGGCCACAATCTTTTTATAAAAGATCCTTTGTCCCCTTTGGGACCGATGCCACCAAATACTGCTCTAATGACAGTCCTCTGGTCAGCCCTGCCTACATGCATCCTTTCTTCCATGACTGGACAACCAGTAGGAAAAGAGTAAGGCAGAATTCTGATGTGGCATATTACTGAATTGGCTCCTCTGGCTTCTGGAGTACACTCCCCTTAATCATAGGCCTGTATCTTAAGTGTTTGTACCTTGGAAGTACTAGAACCCTGCTGCTAGAATACTTTCTATTGACTGTTTCCTCTTATGGAAACAAAGAGCACAGATTTGGGTAGACAAAAATAATCCTTTCTGAGAACATGAACAGGTCAGAGCTGGGAGTGAATACACTACAAACCATTTCTGTCTCTACCAACTTGAATCCTTAGACTTCCAGCCTTAATCAAACCTTGATCCCAAAGGACCCTCAGTTCTTACTTGAAGAGCTTCACTTTCTTCATCTGGGAAGTGCAGAAAATAATAATTCCAATATCCTGGGATTAGAGTGAGGAGTGATAGAAAGAATGGGTGAACAACCAAGTTCCAGGTCATGGAATTTCTGTATTCAGGTTCAGTAAGCAGGAAATCAAGTTGGCTCTTGTCCGTGTTTGAATCTAGAAGTAAATGAGGAGTGCCTAAGCAGGTTTGCTGACTTTGCCCTTCTGTATGTGTGCTCATCCTGCTGCCTTTCTTTCCCAGGACCAGTGGTACTTAACTCTGAGCATCTGAAGTGGTAGCCATGCCTTTGGGGCTGCACATTTGTGTTTTGTCTCTGAAACACTGACACTGGAGTCCTCTGGTTAGGTTACATCAGTACTGGCTGTGACTATTCTTTTCAAGCCTGTCTATTCCTGCCACCCTTTCTGTTCTTTTTAGAAGTCATTGTTGAGCACTTCTGTGTGTTCATTATACAACTTCTAGATAGCAATCATTAGTAAAATAGTATTAGTGCTATGTGCTTCAGTAGAAGGGGGAATGAGAATAAATACCAAACTATAAATGTGGTAAGGGCAAGGAAGGAAGGAACAGAGAATGACCCAGTGTCCTGTAAGGCAGAGCACTTCCTGAAAACTGACTGCAGCATGGGTGAGACCTTGGCTCCACCCAGTGCAGAGCACCATTCATTGCTGCTTCTTGTTTTGCTGACGTTGACCTAATAATAGGTGGCCTGACACCTGGAGGAAATCAAACTTTGGATTTCTATTAGCAGTTTATTTTGCTAATTAAAATTCTAAATCTGGTGATGCCCCTTGCTCCTTTACTCACTGTATATTGGGTACTGTGTATTTTGCATGTGTTCTTATTTGATCCTCTCACAACCTAAGATAGTAAGTTTTTAATTTTCATGATCACTGTAGTTAAATGTAGAAATCAAAAATCAAAGAAAGTCAGGCACTACTGCTCAGTTGTGGCAATTAGTAGCATGAGATTGTTCACCTGTATATTTATTGTTTTGCCTCCCTTCTGTGACTGATGTCTGAACTCAGCTGTTTTTCTTTTTCTTTTGTAGTGGTGCCAGTGAAGAAGAGGACACATGAAGACTTCCCATCCCTCGTGGAAAACACCCCTTCCCTGTGTGTATGTGACAGCGTGTATGTAATGGCTTCTGATATCTGTGAAAGCTGCCTGGCAACAAACTTCTTCCACTGGATATGTCCCCAGGTCCACAGCAGGCACACATGTCTTCAAGGGACAACAAGTTTTATGCATACTGACTGTGTGCTTCTTGTTCTTGTGTGGTAGGTCACAGGAAGAGTTACTTTGGTCAGCTTGGAGGCTCTTCAGGCAACTTCCCAAAGGCCACTTTGAACTGACTTACTCAGGAAAGCCAGTCCCTGAAATATTGTGCAAGTCAACAAACAGTATCAGTTCACTCCTTAGGAAGGTTCTAGAATACCTTGAAAGGAAGTCAGTTTTTTTCCTTATCTGCAAACAGAAAACCCACTTTGTTGGTACTGAAGCTGAAAGCAGGACCACACTGACTCATTAGACAGTCTCTCGTAATCCAGTTCTGCCTTTGTGAAAGACATTAGGGCAGCTGGGTGGAAAATGGGCTTGAAGAGAGAGTCCAGAGCTAGAAAAGAAGATATTTTTAGTATGTGAGGTTATCTAGGACTTCAGATTCATAATTCAGTGCTGTGGAAATGGAAAAAGTGATTGAAGAGGTAGGAAGGGAATGACTTTAAGGAGTGTGAGGGGAAAGGAGCAAAGAAATCTGATTAAAAATTGAAATCAGTGTTTCAGAATTCAGATTGCCCAGATTTTCCAAAATGGTCACTAACGCATCTGATAAAAAAACCTAAATTCTTGGGCTAGCTATATGGGTTAATAGGCCTGCCACAACATAGAAAGCTGGCATGTTTATTACCAGTGGGAATAGTCACTGTAAAATTTGCCAGTTCCACCCCCAGGTTAGCCTACTGTGGCTTCAGTACACTGTGAGGAGAATCCTTGCCACTCGCTGGCTAGCTGGATTCAGGACTATCTGCCGGCAAACATTCCCTCTATTTACTATAATTGGAACCCTCCCTGCCCCTGCAGCAGGCTTTCACTTCCCCTCCCACACCCAGCTCTCCCCTCCTGTGTAGCATGAGCAGGCATGCCCCAGAGCTAGATTTCCTGGCCTTCTCCCATTCCTAGATCACGTTCCTTACACCCACACTTTTCAGGGTCAAGGACACAGTGCTATACTGGGATATACCAACCACAAGCTCACATGTGTACACCACATCTTCTTGAAACCTGAGTTTTTCTTACCAAATGATTTGAAGTCAGGGGATAATCTTATTATTTAATAGAACAAGCAGTTAAGAGAAGAGAATGTTCCTGTCCTTAAACTGTTAGATAAAATAGGAGATTTGGAAGGTAACTCTTGTTTGCAAGTGGGCCGTGTATTCCTTCTCCTGCTTGTGGGGTATTTCCATGTTCACATTGAGATTCTGCCTGAACTGTATCCAAGCAGCCTTGGGGTTGTTATTGACCAAGGTCTAGATTTCCAGGGTCTCTGCGGCAGATCAAGGAGTCTGTCTTGGGGGATATCCCCCTTTTCCTGCCTGCCTGCTTGCCTACAACCTGTGTACTTGGCACAAAGCTCTAGGGGTAGCTAATGTGTGTGTACAGGATAGTTCTGAGGCAGAAACAACGTGCTTACTGTAGGAGACTTAGTTATATCATTGTTCAATCCTGTGCATGCTATAAAATGATAATTCTTTTGAAGCCAGGAACCTGCCAAGCCTAGATGCTCTAGGTTAGGATTATCCTAGCTCACTACACAAATAAGGATATCAGGGCAGAGAGGAGTTTAAGATATATATATTCCCAAACTGGTGGCTAATAGATATATGGCTTAGACAATTTTGATACTTTGCCATTTGTCTACAAAGATTGGAGAATTTAATACACCCTGAGTTAACAACCTCCAATGATATTCTGTTTTTAAAAAAATTCTAAAAGAAGGCCCAAAACCACTCTAGAAAGAATGTAGAAAATCAGAAGATTGAAAAGACTTCAGAATTTGGAAGCTTGTGTTCTTTCCCCAGTAATCATTGTACATGTTGACCTTGTATTACCAATGGACAGATCATTGGCTTTCCACACCTAATCATGCTATTACTTTATATCAGTATTTGGGGAATCCAAGCATTTATGTAGTGGTTACAAACAGAAATATAAAAATATTTGCCAAGTTGTCTCTATAGATTATCATCTGTCTGGGATCCTCAAGGAAAGCATTTCCCCTTTGCTTAGAAAGCATTTGGATTTGCTTTATGGGCTCCTGCAGTTTCCAGCACCTGATAAAACTTTAACCAGGAAAGCATTAAACACAGCACAGCAGCTCTGCGGATCCCTCAGGTCCTGTGGCAGCGCTTATCATTGTAAAAACTAGGGTGCTTTCTCAATGGGCAGACTTCTTCCTCAGAGCTGGGACTGCTGCTTTGTCTTAGGCCACATCATCAGGAAGCTTCTTGCCTTTGAGGTCATTGTGAGTTAAGAGTTGTGTGTGTCCTGACTGACTGTGGACAGCAGAGTTGACCCAAATTGCTAGGGATAAATCAGGAACACACAGGTAAGAATGTCTCCAGAAATGAGTTGGGTACCCATGGCAAGTCCCAGCAGCCTTCTGAATGTTGAGTTTCTGAGTGCTTAGAGGGATTTGTTCTTTGATTTGATACCACTATATCCAGGACAGTTCCAAAAAGCGTTTGGCTTCTCAGCTCTGACAATCAGCAAAAGGAAGTAACCTGAGGACAGTCTAGGAGCCAGGCACTCTGTAGGTGTGCCCAAGGACAAATCTCTTGTCTTGTAGTTGCCAGGAAACACTGGAACTAGTTTTGAACATAACTCTCCCTTACAGTTAGCCCTCTGCCCTGTACCATGACTCACCTACAGATTCAGAGAGAGAAAGAGGCTTTCAGTTCCCCCAGTACAGTATGCCTATTCACATTATAAACTATTTTTCAAAAACATCAAGATATCCTTACTCCTCTGCTTTAGTAGATATTGTAAGTACTCATTGTTAACTTGAGTATCCTTCCAGAAGCTGGGGACCTTTTCTTTTCAGTGCCATCCCCACAAAAAAAAAAAAAAAAAAAAGTGTGTTTGTCCTTGAAGAGTGTAAAGTTTTCAGACCTAGTGAAGGTGATAGTAGCCTCAATATCTCCTGCTTCATCACTATAGAAAAAACAAATCTTTATATTTTAGTAAACCCAGCTATCATGTTCTGTACTCTGTGAGAAGGTGCCAATTCAAATCACTGACTTTAGACTCCCTGGGGTGTGTGTGTGTGTGTGTGTGTGTGTGTGTGTGTGTGTGTGTGTGTAAATGAGAGTGAGATTTATGCACATACTATGTGTTTAATGTTTAATTATTTAAGTGTTGATTCACAACAACCCTGGTGATCTTACATACCACCACAAAGGTTTCTTCTAACTCCATACAATGTCAACAGATAATTGGAGTGTGGGTTCCAGAATAGTTCCTAATGGTAGGTGTCAACTTTTAAAGCACTAAGCCAAGGTGACAGTCAGGAAGGAAATTGCACCCTAACCTCCTTCCACTATGTCTAATCTCATGGGGAATTTAGATGCGGTGTCATTTTGGTGACTTGGATCATTTTGGTCACTCCATTTGAGTCTGAGTGTACAGCTGCAGAATGTATAACCTTATAGTAGTCAAAAGTCTAGGAAGTCATTTCTCCCACAGAGAAAATGTCCTGCTGATTCCTTATATTCTGCTCTCATGTTATAGTGTTCAGTACAAGCTTTTCAGTAAATTGGTTGCATGTTTACTGGGGGTTGAGCACATCTAAATTTTTGTTTATTTTTTAAAGACAAAAATCCCAATCTAAATCAAGTCCAGCCCTGCCCTAAGGGAGCAAGCCCACAGGGAGACTGCAGATCTCACTGACCCTGCCTTTACCCAGCATTGTTTCTGAGGCCCCCACCCTAAGGAATTCTAAGAGCCCTAGGAGCTGAAAACAGGAGATCATTTGGATCACTTGGCCTTACATGACCATGTGAGGCTGAGAACACACCAGAAATACCAGAACAAGTGTCAGAGCAGGAAAGTCAAAAAGATGAAGATATTTGGAAGTGCGCTGATAGAGAAACTGCCAGAGTCGGTGCTGGACTTGGTGTGACTTTGAGGGGACCACTGATGTATACTTTATGGAAGTTAAACCTGACCAGTCTTTTACAGTGACAGGCCACATCGCATGAGTGGGTAGAACCAACAACTCCATTGTCTTCTGCCTGTTTTCGTGTACACAGTCACATTCCCTCCTTAGTCTTCTACCCTTTACACTAAACAAGGGAACACTTGGTCTTTCAAGGGAATTACACATCTGAGTTAATGTTTCAGTACATCATTTTCATACTGTAAATTATTTTGTAAGAGAGATTTACTGCTATCCCAGGATGTTCGGACTTGGCGCCCCCTGTGCATTTGGAAATCAATAAACTATTACTGGAAATAACATTTTTCTTTCAGAGTTGTGCACAAAGCCCCTGTTAGGTGTAAATATTCATGACTATATATATATATATATCTGTGACAATGCTGGAGATGGTGGTGTTTGTGTTATTAGATGTGGGGACCTAGTTTACTCCTGACTTCCTAAAGGGCCTTAGGAGACCTCTGGAGGCTGGCAAAGGGTAGACAGAGAACCAAGCCAAGTGAACAATGCCTAGATTAGATTAAATTACATACATGGGTTGGGTAGGTTATAAGGGTCAGACACCACTCAGTGCTTTACAACGTTGATGGACTAAAGGGAAGCTCAAAATTTAGTTTTTGACAAATGTTCTTTAAAAATAAAAACTAGCCAGTGCCCTTGAGTAAATTATAGTTAAGCTGGCAAAGCCATCTCTGTGGAACTTTAAAGGTACCTACTTGAATAGATTTGGTGAGAGTTAAGTAAACTCACTTCAGTCTGATTTCTAACATAGGGCCAAAGGTTGATTTGAAACCTGGAATCATGTACTCAGGCCTTAAGTAGCCAAATGTGAAGATCAGAGATGCTAGAACTACATGGATCTGAAAATGCAAACCTTCCCAAAATCATAAAACTTAATGTTTCAGAACCCTAAATACCACCAGCAAGTATGTTTGTGAACCCTGTTCTAATTTCTATCTATCAAATATGTCTTCATTAACTCTACATGATACTATGAGAACTTTGGGAAAAGGTTTTTTAATTGATCATTTCTTGATTCCAC